AAAAAAAAAAACAACAACTTGTCTGAGACCCCAGTGACTGTGGAGAGTGAGGGCTGTGGCCAGGGAGTGGTCCATTGCAGAGCAAGGATTCAAATATGCAGCAGGAAGCAGGCCCAGGAGCAAAACACTGACCGCTCTTTCACTAGTCTAGTGAACAGACGCAGCCTTGAAACCAGCATGGCGGCTTGGCGACAGGTGAATGTGCTGGGCTCCATGCCATCCTGGGGAGAGTCAGTCTTGGAGAAATGCTGAGACATGAGCAGGTTTTACCGCTGGAGTCCAAAGAAACAGGCCTCGGGATCCTTGGGCCTCACAGAGGATGCTCAGCCTTAAGATAGTCGCCATCTTGCTTTAGAAGCCTCAAGGTCACCCACTAACTGCCCCCTCCCTTTTTCTTTGTGGAACCGGGGATTGAACTCAGACCCTTGTGCTTGCCAGGCAAGTGCCTATTCTACTGAGCCATCTCCCTGGCCTATCTATCTATCTATCTATCTATCTATCAAATCACCATTAAGACTGCCATTGCAAAGCAACACAGACCATTGGCTGAAACATCACATACTCCTCACAGTTCTGGGGCTGAAAGTTTAAGATCCAGGTGTCAGGAGGGGTAGCTTGTTATGGGGTGTATCTCACTTGCTGAGACAGCCATTTTCTTGGTGTCTTCAAATGGTCTCTCCTCTGTGCTTAGGCATACCAGTTATCTTTTTGTGTCTCAATTTTCTTTACTTTTAAGAAAACCAGTCAGATTGAATTAAGTTCCCCCTAATGTCCTTATTCTAACTTAATTTCCTTAATAATCTATCCCCAAGTACAGTTACATGTTTTGGGGCTTAGGGCTGTGACATTAATTTTTAAAAATGTATTTAGTACAGTGTCTACAGGGTCTCACAACACAGATCAGACTTGTAGTGATTCTCCTGTTTTCAGCCTCTCAAGTGCTGGGATTACAGGTGTGTGCCACCACACCCAGTCTCAGGTGCACCATTACAACCAGTCTCAGTCACCATTTCAGTGCACCTGGAGGTGGGGCTGGTACGGCATGTGGTGCTAGGGATCAAACCCCGGTCTCTGTGCCTGCTTAAGCCAGCGCTTTCGTCCGCTGAGCTATCTGGTCAGTCCAGGGCTTTAATATTAATTTTGAAGTTAATGTTAACTAATTAACATTTCATATGTGCTTGTTCTATTTTCCTGATACGGGTATTCAGAGCTATAAATTTCACTTTTAGGACTGCTTTCATTGTGTCCCAAAAACTCTTGTACTGTCATTATCATTTAATTGTAGAAGCTAATTTCTTCGTTAATTTCATCTGTGATCCATTGTTCAGGAGGGTGCTATTTAATTTCCATGTGTTTATGAAGTTCTTGTGGTTTCTTTTGCCATTGATTTCTAATTTCATTGCAATATGGTCTGATAATATGCATGGGATAATTTCAATTCCATTGCATTTACTTAAGCATGTTCTATGAGCTGGTTGGTGTTCTGTTTTGGAGAACTTCCCATGCGCACCTGAGAAGAATATGTATTCTGATATGGGGAGGAACACTCTGTAGACATCTACTAAGTACATTTGTTCAAAAGTTTGGTTCAGTTATTATATTTCATTGCTGACTTTTTGTCTAGTTGATCTGTGTATTTGTGACAGTGGGGTGTAGAGATACCTCAATGCAATTGTATTAGTACTTATTTGGTTTTTCATGTCTGTTAATTTTTTTTTATATAGTTAGCTATACTTGTGAGGGAGATGCTTTTCAGCCCAAAATAGTCACTTTTTTTTTTTTTTTTTTTAATGGAACCGGGATTGAACTCAGGCTCTTGCACTTGCCAGGCAAGTGCTTATTCTACTGAACTATCTCCCCAGCCCCATAATAGTCACTTTTAACAATTCTTCTTTAATTCTCTTTGTTGAGTTATTTAAAATTGAAAATCATTTGGTAATCCCAGCATGTGTGGAAGCTGGGGTAGGAGGAGGGCAAGTGTGAGCCCACTTTCACTTAATGATTTAGTGAGACCCAACCTCAAAAATAAAATAAAATAAAACAACACAACATGACATAGTACAATGCCCAGGGCTGGGGATACAGCTAAAGATAAGAGCTGGTTGGTGTTCTATTTTGGAGGGTAAAGTCCCTAGGTTCAATTACCAGTACCACAAAACAAAACAAAATGAAATACAGTAACAGCAAAAAACAACCAGTAGCATCTGATAGTTAAAGCTTTGGTCAAGGGTTCACTACCTGAAATGTTAAGGTATATCTGCACCCAGCTATCAGAGAAGGAAGGCATTCTATGAAGTACAGTATTTACTCCATTCTATTCCTTGAATGCCCACAATGTATCATAAATATGCATATATACCTTTTCCTCATAAATCCAAAGTTTCTCCATGTAGTATTATCCTGGAGTTCCACACGCACCCACAAGCTTTCCCCAAACCCATTGTAATACCATGAGGCCTCCTGTCAATATGCAGATGCATCTGTAGATGACATTTTTCTTCTGTCAGTCCTGTTAGGTAAACACTCTTACTTGTAAACTAAATGTAAGTTTGATTTTCACCAGTGTAAAATAGTGTGGCAGATTGTTATATACATATGAAGTCTTTGATCAACAATTGACTCTTAGAGCACTAGATACATCATAGCTTTTCTTATCTATTTAGTGCAGGTTGACCTCCTTGCCTCTGTCTAGCACTTAGATTTATGCAATTTTTTTTCTTATTTAAGAATCAATTCTGCATTTCTGAGAGGTCTGAGTTCCCATTTACCCTGTGTGTGTAGGTTATGCTGATCTTTCATGAGTTTACTACTGAGAATATGACCATGCAAAAAAAGATGGTGAACTCAGAAGCTGCTCACGTTTAACCTTTAGGCCATCAGGTCACTGTCATATAAGAGTAACTCTTACGTGTTCGGGCTGGATTGTGCTCCTGAGAGCCGTCGCTCCTGACCGGGAGCTTGCGGGGTCTGGGGCGAGGGGTCCTCGGTGGCCTCTGGGACGGCACCATGCCTAAGGCACCAAAAGGAAAAAGCACAGGAGGAGAAAAAAAAAATTGTCCATCCATACAGTAGAAAAGCGGGTCAGATTACAGGAGAGGCCCACAAACAAGAAAAGAAGGAAAAACTGAAGAATGAAAAGGCCTTACATCTCAACCTCATTGGTGAAAAACTGCAATGGTTTCAAAATCAGCTGGATCCCCAAAAACTGAGATACTCAAAAAAGGATGCTTGTCAATTAATTGAAAGGTACTTAAATC